AGGAAAGGGAAGGGAAGGGAAGGGAAGGGAAGGGAAGGGAAAAGGGAAGGGAAGGGAAGGGAAAAGGGAAGGGAGGGAAAAGGGAAGGGAAAAGAAGGGAAGGGAAAAGGGAAGGGAAGGGGAAGGAAACTACAATGAAGAAAATCTGGTGCTGTATTTGTCATTTCTCTAATGCTAGGGCTAATTTAGAAGAAATGACTGGCTGACATAAGAGTCTGCTCATGCTCCATATGCATCCCTCTGAAATTAAGAGGGTAACAAAAGCCTCTCCAGCTAGAGGATGGTCATGTTTTAATCAAGGAGTAATGTGGTTTTACTCCTCTAGCTTAATCATGTGGCTTGTGAAACATTTCACTAGGAAGACTCTTCCCAGTCTGACCAAATCTGTCTTTCCCAAACTCATTCACAAGAGGAGAGATAATAGAAATAGCAAATCGAATATAACCTCTATCAGCTATGATCTTCAGAGCCACACATTATAGTAACTGCACCACTCAGAAAAAAAAAACATAAGCACTCTTTGAAAGACCAAGTATTAGAAATGGTGCTGTGGCTCAAGTGGTATAGTGCTCACCTTGAGCTGAAGAGCTCAGGGACTGCACCCAGGCCCAAAGTTCAAGCCTCACAACTGGCAAAAAGAAAAAAAGAAGAAGGAAAGAAGGAAAGAAAGAAAGAAAGAAAGAAAGAAAGAAAGAAAGAAAGAAAGAAAGAAAGAAAGAAAGAAAGAAAGAAAGAGAGCAAGTATCTGGTGGGCACTCAAATATACTTATATGTTGTGTATTTGTGTGTGTGTGTCAGTCCTGGCTTGAACTCAGGGTCTGCACGCTGTCCCTGAGCTTTTGTGCTCAAGGTCAGCACTTCTGGTTCTTTTTATTATTATTACTGTTGTTTTATTTTATTTTATTTTCATTTGTTTTGTCGGTCTTGGGGCTTGAATTCTGGGCCTGAGTGCTGTCCCTCAGCTCTTCAGCTCAAGGCTAGAGCTCTACCACTAGAGCTACAGCACCACTTCCGGTTTTCTGATGGTTTATTGGAGATAAAGCCAGCCAGACAGGAAAGTCCAGGAAAGTCCGTGAGATTCTTATCTCCAATAAACCACTAGAAAACTGGAAGTGGTACTGTGGCTCAAGCGGTAGAGCGCTTGCCTTGAGCTGAAGAGCGCAAAGACAACACCCAAGCCCAGAGTTCAAGCCCCATGACCGACCAAAAAAAAAAAAAAAAAGATAATTTCAAGCTGGGCATCGGTGGCTCACTCCGGTAATCCTAGCTACTCAGGAGGCTGAGATCTGAGGATCACAGTTCAAAGCCAGCTCAGGCATGGAAGTCTGTGAGACTCTTATCTCCAATTAACCACCAGAAAACTGGAAGTGGTGCTGTGGCTGAAGTGGTAGATGCTAGCTTTGAGCTACATTGCTGAGGGACAGCACCCAGGCCCAGAGTTCAAGCCCCATGACAAAAAAAAAAAAAAAGAGAGAGAGATATTCACTAATTGATTGACAAGGTGCTAAAGCCTCTGGGACAGTTTTTCAACCTTAGAAAATTCTACATTATGTGAAAACAAGAATGCAAACTACACCAGGGTACATGTAGCACATCTGGCCAATGGGAAGCCTGTTGGGAGAGTTCTTAAATACAAAGAGACAGGTATCTTATGACAAATGGAACTTGCTGTTCTGAGGGGACACATACTAGTACTAAAGCTATTTTTCTACAAATAAAAAAGCAGAGAAGTGAAAAAAAAATAGGAATCCTTGCAGATGTTGTTGAACATCTGGTCATACTATTCCAGAATTGTCTGTCCTCAAAGTTCTTGTAAAAGGTATAACAATTCTCCTACTTAACATAATTTTAAGTCAGTTGAAAACATACTTCTGATATAATATAAACATCCCACTGTAAGGTCCATTCCTGGACGGCGAACAGACCTCGCCCAGTACCTGCGTTACCTAGGCAACTGGGACACCTGGAAGAGGTCACATCCGCATCCGCTGAGGTCACATCTTAACCTGATGTGGCCACACCTTTCTCCCACCTGACCCCACTTCCCTTTACCTGGACACACCCTTCCGCACCCCCCTACCCTATATAAGGAATAAACCGCGGCCAGACCGCCTCTTTTTCTTTTCCTTTGCCAGCCGCGTGGAGTGCCAACCTTGCCTGGTCCCAGCAGGTCTACTGAATAAACCCCTTACCTGAATACCACGTGCGTGGTGCAGTTCTTACTCGGCCACCTCTTTTTAAAAACCTAACACCCACTAATATGCAAATATTCTACTGAAATATAATATCAAAGCTATACACCAATTCTTTAAAAAATACCCTCCATTGCTCAAAAACTAAATCCTATTAGAAAAAAATGTGGTCCTTCTATGAAATCCTCTTCTACTGTTTGTTTCTATTCTTACTCCTGCTGCTTATTCCAAATCCTCTCTACTCTTCTCATGACATTGGAGTCCCAAAAACAAGCTGAATTTTTTTTTTTTTTTGGTCATGAGGCCTGAACTCTGGGCCTGGGAGCTGTTCCTCAGCTCTTCAGCTCAAGGCTAGCGCTCTATCACTTGAGCCACAGCACCACCTCTGACTCTTTCTGCTTAAATGGTGCTGAGGAATCAAACCAGGGGCCTCATGCATGCAAGGCAAGCACTCCACTACTGAGTCACCTTCCCAGCCCACAAGCTGAAATTTCTACAAATAGTCTCATCACAAGGGATGAAGCAAATTAATCTATAGTGATAAAAAGCAGATCAATAGTTATCCAGGGATGGGGCAAGGGAAGAAGGGGAGAGGGATAAAAGGATCATAAAGGATACAAGGAAGATTTGGAGAAGTAATGAATATTTTCATTATCTTGGTCACTGTGACTGTTTTGCATACATATATACACATCAAAACATCAAAATCTGTTATTTGTTATTTGCAGTTCAAAGCCAACTTGGACAGGAAAGTCTGTGTGACTTTTATCTCCAAGTAACTGCCAAAAAAGGTGGAAGTAAAGCTGTTGCTCAAGTAGTAGCACTCTAGCCTTGAGAACAAAAGCTCAGGGGCAGAACCCAGGCCCTGAGTTCAAGCCCCATGACCAACAGTAATTAATTAATCAGGACTAGGCACCAAAGGCTCACACCTGCAATCCTAGCTACTCAGGAGGCGGAGCTCTGGGGATCACAGGTGGAAGCGAAGCCAAGCAGAAACATCAATGAGATTCTTATCTCCAACAAGCTACCAAAAAACTGAAAATGCAGCTGTGGTAAGAGAGAGCTAGCCCTGAACACGAAAGCTCAGTGACAGAGTCCAGGACAACCACATACACACACACACATACACACACGTTTCTTAGGCAGGTGTTCTACACTTAAAGGGCCCTTCATTTCTTTTCTTTCTTTTTTTTTTTTTTTTTTTAGGTGTTCTACACTTAAAGGGCCCTTCATTTCTTTTCTTTCTTTTTTTTTTTTTTTTGGTCAGTCGTGGGGCTTGAACTCTGGGCTTGGGTGCTGTCCCTGCGCTCTTCAGCTCAAGGCGAGTGCCCTACCGCTTGAGCCACAGTGCCACTTCCAGTTTTCTAGTGGTTTATTGGAGATAAGAGTCTCACGGACTTTCCTGCCCCAGTGGCTTTGAACCTCGATCCTCAGATCAGATCTCAGCCTCCTGAGTAGCTAGGATTACAGGCGTGAGCCACCAGCACCCAGCCCCCTCCATTTCTTAAGCAGGTGTTCTACACTTAAACTACGTACTCAATCCAAAATTGTAAACATTAACAGTTTATTACACAGTTATATCTCAATACAGTAAAGTGGGACTTTTTTCCTTTTTCTTTTCTTTTTTGTTCTGATGGTAATGGGGGTCTTGCCAAGCAAGAGCTCTACTACTTGAGCTACAACCGAGGCTCATAAGTTGGGATTTTTGAAATGAAATAGTTTTGCTGAGTGGCTTTGTTTCTGTTCAATCTACAGTGCTCCTTCCCACTCCACATAGGTAGAATTTACTAGGCTACTTTCCCAAACTTGCAGGGACACAGAAATAAGTTGTACTCATTATGGCTGAAGATACAATTTTTAGTGAGCCAATTACTGAAAGGCTTGCCAAAATGATTTTTATTTAATGCCCACTTCTTGTAAGTTATGCTAAAAATACACAGGTACACTAAACTCTAAAATCCCATACCTTCTCAAATTACACAATGTTCCTTTGGGATCTAAGCTTTTCTATTTGCTGCTATCAATTCCCACCCACACTTTCACCCCCATCTCAGTGGAATTTACCAAATCTACCAGCTTCTTAGTCTCTCTTTCATAAACATCAACAAAGGGTTTTGCCACTAAGATGACACGTTAGTTGCTATAGGCAAAAAGGTCCACAATACACTCTCCTACTGCTTTAGGAAAAAAGAGGAGACTACTTTATTTCTATGTAAAGCAAGGGCACCAACCAACTATAGGAGGGAGAGTCTTTTGTAGTATTTTCCTCTGACTTAACAAAAACCACAGAGGACCAGGATAGAATAAAAAGAAATGAGCTTACCCATAGAGTAGAGGTTGTCAAAGCTCTGGTGCATGCGGATAATCTCATAGTAAAGTTCATCATAGCTGCTGGGAGTTGGCAGGAATGTGTCTCCATATGTGATAAACATATTAAAGAGATTCACAATCTAAAAAAGAATAACCCATTTAACACATAAGAATATGAAGATCAGAAAATATTATCAGAATGTTACAGCCAACTATTCCTGAATTACAAGAGCTAATATTCGAGAATTTTTGTAAGCTGCTTATAAAATACAGTCATTATTGAAAATTCACTCAAATAAACTTATAATTACACAAATTATATTAAAATAGTAAAGTCTCTTGTCTGTGACTAGGCTATTTGTGTACAGAAATCTGACCTACACTCATACATGAATATTCTCCCATAAAGGAGAAAAAGTCCCCAGGTTTGCTAAATACATAAATGATAAAAGTAGCAGTCTAGAGATTCTGATCCATAAGGAAAATATAGCCTGGTTCCCTAGAACATCAGCTCCAGTTTCAAACCAGTCCATTTCTGTCTAAGCATATAGATTCAAAAAAAGAAATATTTAATTGTTACTCACCATAAGGGCTAATGTAAAAATGTTGTGTTTGGCCAAAAGTACAGTTTCATTTGACATAAGGAACTTCAGCAAATTTATCAAAGCTTAAAAAAAAAATCACAACCATAATCAATAAAGGTCAATGAAAGCAGAGTAGCTCTATAGCAAAATCACAGGACTAGAGTGAGTAAGCTTCACTTACCAAACAAGATATTTTATTAAGTGGTTAACATGTTATAATTGTAATTGTTTATGAGGTACGCTATGCTATTCCAACACATGTAGATATTATGGGTGTGGTTCAGTGGTAGACTGCTTTGCTAGCATACACAAGGCCTTGGGTTCAATCCCCTCAAAGATCAGATAGGTTGGTATATTTGAGGCAAGCACCTTCTCAGATACATGTCTACTTCTTGTCACTTTTTTTTTTTTGGTCCGGTCGTGGGGCCTGAACTCTGGGCCTGGGCGCTGTCCCTCAGCTCTTCAGCTCAAGGCTAGCGCTCTACCCTTGAGCCACAGCGCCACTTCCAGCTTTTTTTTCTGCTTATGTGGTGCTGAGGAATCGAACCCAGGGCCTCAAGCATGCAAGGCAAGCGCTCTACCACTGAGCCACCTTCCCAGCCCTTGTCACTTTTTTTGTTTCTTTTTTGTGGTGCTGGTCCTGGGATTTGAGCTCAAGGCCTGGCTGCTGTTATTGAGCTAACACCATACTGCTTGAGACACAGCTCTACTTCTGGCTTTTTGGTGGTTAACTGGAAATAAGTCTGATGGACTTTCCTGCCCAGACTGGCCTCAAACCACAATTTCCAGATCCAGCCTCTTGAGTAGCTAGGATTACTGGCATGAGCCACCAGCATCTAGCTTTCTTGCCACTACTTAAATAGCAATTAAGCTAAAAAATTGTGCCTAGAAATGATATCTTAGTGTTCCAAATTTACTCCCATATGGTTAGTCCTCTAGCAAAGTTGCTCAATTTACTGATAAAATGAGGACCCCCTTCCACCTCAGACTGCTAGCATCTATTGTCAACAAATTTTAGCCATACACCTGTTTCAAATATCATTGCTGTAGAACATATAGCTGGGCTACTGCTCTGGGTAGGATGAGAGCTCATAAAAAGAAAAAAGAAAATCCTACCAAGTGATGGCTCAAGTCTATAATCTCAGTTTCTCAGGAGGCTGAGACAAAAGGATCAAAAGTTCAAGGCTAACCTGGGCAACCTATCAAGACCCTATCTTAAATAAAAGTTAAAAAGAGCTTGTGATACACCTTATTGGTAGACCAATTGCCTAGCGTGCCCAAGACCCTGGGTTCAATACCCCACTCTGCCTGTCTCTCTCTCAATTTCTACCTCTTCAGCACGAATACACATAAACACACACACACAAACACACACGCACACACACACACACGCACACACACAATCACACGGAACCCTTGACTAATTATAGTTATTCTATAATTGTTCTATAGTTGTTCTTTTCTTTCTTTCTTTCTTTTTTTGCGTCCGGTCGTGGGGCCTGAACTCTGGGCCTGGGCGCTGTCCCTCAGCTCTTCAGCTCAAGGCTAGCGCTCTACCACTTGAGCCACAGCGCCACTTCCGGCTTTTTTCTTTTTGCTTATGTGGTGCTGAGGAATCGAACTCAGGGCCTCAGGCATGCAAGGCAAGCGCTCTACCACTGAGACACCTTCCCAGCCCCGTTCTATAGTTGTTCTGTCTTCTCTTGACAGTGATAACATTTACTGAAAAGATTTTTTTCCCCTCTGTACTTGACAATACTTAGTTAAGAGGAAAGACTGCTAAAACCTAAGGAATCTCAATAAAAAGGAGCCTACAAGTCCCTAGATTTAACAGACACTTTAAATACATTTTTGCAAATAAGCATTAAGCATAAAAGAAATTCTCGGTTGCCATGTGCTTATTCACTTAGAGGTTTTGTCCATGGGATGAAAGCTGTCCATCTTGACTAAGGCTCTCTTATCTACTCCCCTTTTCAATGGGAAACTACAGAAGGGAACTGCAAGTTCTTACAGCTAAGGGAATTGTGATCCTTCTATTCTCTCCTACTCAAACCTATTCAAGATCTCTAACTCAAAAGCCTTGACCTCTCCCTTTCTTTCTTCTTTTCTCTTCCCCTCCCCTCCTCTCCTCTCTTTTCCTGCCCATCTCCTCTCCTCTCCCCCCACTCCAGAATCTTACTATGTAGCCCTGGCTAGCCTTTAACTATTCCTACCTCTGTCTCTCATGTGTTAGTATTACAGACTCCACTACAATAGACTACAATGTCCAGCTCTGACCTCTTCCTTTCTAAAATTGTATCTTCCTTCTTTGCTAACAAAAAAGCTCATTCTCCCATGCTGCCTGAGCTTTGTGTGAACTTTACTACTCTTAGAGCAGAGATGTGTTCTTTGATTTGGAACATCAGGAAAGGAAGAGTAGGAGTGAGACTGCAGACACTGTTGCCTGCCACAAAACGCTCCTCACTCTCAGTCCCCTAACAGCATGGGTGCAGTAAAGAAACAGCAGGCAAAAGAAGTGCAAGAGCCCAGCTGCACCATCATTCTGTTTCTAAGGTTTGAGTCTTCTCTAAAAGCAAAGAGCTGGGCAGATGTTCTCATTTATGAACCCTTAACCCCTCCCTGGATGTAAGTTCTCTGAGTTTCATGATAGAAAGGCAAATGATTAGGCAGCTGGCCCTTTTGATAGTTTTGTTACTAAGTAATCTATTGAATTTGGCTGGGGTGGGGGTGTTGAGAGGAAGGCCACAATACATCCTACACTGCTTAGTTCTACCAGGAGCCCAGGGAATAAAACAAGTTACATACAGGGCTGGGAAGGTGGCTCAGTGGTAGAGCGCTTGCCTAGCATGCATGAGGCCCTGCCCTGAGTTCAATTCCTCAGCACCACATAAGCAGAAAAAGCTGGAAGTGGCACTGTGGCTCAAGTGGTAGAGTGCTAGCCTTGAGCTGAAGAGCTCAGGGACAGCGCCCAGGCCCGGAGTTCAGGCCCCACAACCGGCAAAAAAAAAAAAAAGAAGTTACATACAAATAAACTCCAGCCCAAACTGCCTTCCTAAATGAAGATCATATGACTGAGCCATATAGGGGGTGCCCAATCCCACCTCCCTAATCCTCAGGGTTTACATAAATCCTGTGAATGAATAAATAGACCTAACAATCAAACCCCATAAATCTACAAGAGACAAGAGAAAGAGATGAGCAACACATGTGGCACTGTGAGGAATGTAAGGGCTAGAGAGACAAAGCAGCTTTTGCACACATCCAATCAACAAGGGCTTTTGTCCTCAGCACACACAGCACAAAGATGCAGACTCAGCAGTGGCCAAGTGGTAATTAAGGGGCAGGAAAGCTGGAGGAGAGGATGAAAGAGTGATGATTTATTGCTCCTGTGCTAGAACTACAGCCAGTCTTGATCTCTGGGATTCAGAGTCAGGGATGGCAAAGTGATATATATGAGGGGAGGAAAAGAGTAATTTCTGACACAGACCAAGAGGCAACCTGTGTTCAGACATTAGCAGAGGCAAGCATAGAGGAGAGTCAAGCTCTATGATGCTCTGAGAGTCAGTACTGCAGAGACCTGTGTGCTACTTCTGATAATTCAAGTCAGATACCACTCCCCTACTACTAAAATACCTCTGGAAAAAGTAATTATCTATAGGATTTGATTTTACTTTTATTTTTTGTTTGCAGTGCTGGGGATTAAACTCAAGGTCTCACACATGCTTGACAAGTGTTTTAGCACTGAGCTACATCCTCAACTACTATTTTAACAGGCAGCTTTTTTTTTTTTTTTTTTTGGTCAAGGGGCTTGAACTCTGGGGGCCTGGGCCCTGTCCTTGAGCTCTTCAGCTCAAGGAAGTGTTGGTGGTTAATTGGAGATAAGAGTCTCATGGACTTTCCTGCCCGGGCTGGCTTTGAACCACCATCCTCAGATCTCAGCATCCTGAGTAGCTAGGATTACAGGCGAGAGTCACCAACACCCGGCTAACAGGAACCTTAAAACAACACTGCTCTTTTGGCTGCTACAGACTTCCTAAAGAGGCTCTACTCTACCAGTGCCATACCATTGGTGCTGCTCAGGACCTGGGGCTTACAGGCCACGAATGCAGTGTCTCCTCTGAAAGCACAGATTGTGGCCTTTGCTAGCAAGTGAGTGTTCTTCTCCAGGACACTACCCTGATGGAAAAGAACATCCTGCCCTGTGATCTTATTTCCATGATTTAATTTAATAAATTTATACCACACACAAAAAAGAAATGTACTCATTACCTTGCCCATGTAATTGTGACCCCTCTGTATATTTTCACAACAAACAAACAAAAAAGAATGGACCAAATACCCTATGCAACAATGCTTTTCTCTTTCATCACTTCAAGACTTTACACTCATTAAATGAACTACCTACTGTCCTATATGCCACTACACTGTTACTAACACTTACCTAGACTAAAATTTTCTCCTCTCCTTCTTCCTCTCCCCCATCCCCTCCTCCTCCCTCTCCCTCTTCTTCTCCTGTTCTCTCCTCTCCAGTTTCCTCTCCACTCCTCTATTTCCAGGCCCCTAGAAATAGTTGCTGGGCTTCTTTCTAGGAACTGCAAATTGGTTCCAACCACTGCTTTTTTAAACTTTATACAGGAGGCAACTAGCTCTACACTAGAGATCATCAGCCTCATACTTACCTTCAGCCTATTTGTTTCTTTACTTTTTTGGAAAGTCATGTGTATCATAATTAGTGAAACAATATGACAGCAGTATGTAGAAATTCAGACTTCTCTGTATACAGATGCAGGTAGAATAAAGGATAATGTATATGTCCAGATTCTGAGAAGATGAATAAGACCAGGTATCTTTGTTGATTCCTTAAGTCCCAAGTAAGTTACCAGAAATAGAAAAAGCAAAGCAACATAATTGTCAAATAGGAAGAGCAAAGTACCATACCCTGAGAATCTTGACACCTTACACAAGTTCCCATCACCTCATAAAGAACTTTATTTGCTGAGCTGTTGCTAGCATTAATGTACCCTACACAATGAGACTTCCCCAGATTTCTTTCTATTCTGCTTTTATACAGGGGAGGGAAGGA